CCCCAAAACCCCAAAACCCCAAAACCCCAAAACCCCAAAATTTTGTGAATAATATCATTTTATCAAATATGTACAACTTTTTTACCCATTTTTAGGAATAAGAAATGTCTAAAATGGATAACTGGGAGGTTTCCTTATTAGCATCAAATTAAAATAAACCAATTAGTTCTCATTCTAAACATTCAGGACTATTTTTTGACAAATCCCACCCCAGGAAAACTTTGTTAGCCCCTTCTACAAACAACTTCCTCTTTCAACACTTTTAGTACGATTTATATTCAATAAAAAGAGCCTTGAGTAGATCGCCTGAAGTTCTGCTCAGCCATTTTTCTAAGATATTAGTCAAATTCTTACTTCATTGATTTGATTTCTTTTACTCTCTTCTCTTGAAATTTTGCCTTCACTTCAGCTATCCTTGCTTCCTGAGGATCTACTTCTTCACCAGGGTCTGCTGATTCTGGGATCACAGGCATACTCTTACTATACAGGAAGTGTCAGCCGGACTAGTTTTCAGATAAAAACTGCTTGGTTGGAATCCAAAGGTAAATAATTTTTATTTCCGAACTATTTCATTGGATCCTTTTAATTCTTAGGAATAAAAATTGGGATAGATCTGCAAAATTTTGCAATAATTTTAGGATATTTGCTACTGAGAAGATTTCTAGTTTATTTTTACCTCCTATACACTTCTTTGGCTGTCTTGGGCCTTGTCATGATTTGGTGACCCAGCTAAAATTGTTCTATGAATTTACCTTAAAGTGGGATTTCACTAAAGCTTTGGATGTATCAAGTTTGGAGGTTTTATCAAGCCTTGGAGTATCAATCAACCTAGTCTTTGTAGGGTCGCTACAATCAAAATCCTCTGTATGTACATCTGATTTGAATGTAAAATTTTGGGTTAGCTCACGTCTTTTAAAATATTTTCTGAGAAGCTCTTCTTCTGGCTCATCTTCTGTATATTTTATATGAGTCCATTCTTCACCTTTCTTTTCAGTTAAAAACTCCTGATTCAGTGAGCCACCTTTGTCATCCTTCTCTCCAAGTTTGTAATGTGTCTCTAGAAGTTCTTGCTTTTTCTCCTTATTAAATTTATTAGCTTTCAAGAACTCCTGGAAGCTCATCTTGATTAGCTTCTTACTCTTGGCTTTAAAGAACTTGGCATGGCAAGATGTTTTATTCTTGGGTTCAAGATTTGAAGGCATTCGAGTGACTTTGGCATCATTAATCTCTACAGTTTTCCAGTTCTTCTTATTCTCCTCCCTAAATTTACACATCGTTGTTACCCTCGTTCCTGCCTATCCTCATCAAGTCTGCAGAAGAGAGACCTACGTGTCTCAGGAATTCTTTTTGTGAGGTCATAGTTTCCCATTGAGAAACTTGCTTTACCAAAGACCCTTTTATATTTTTGATGCGTTCTGAAGGTTATGAAAGAAATGCTTACTTATCAGCAGCAATATAATTTTTCTGAGGAACAAAAGTCTCCTTCATTGATGATCAGAAGTTGGGTGACTTCATTTCAAGCTTGTTCGCCTTCAAATCTATTGAAGTATAATATTTATCAATCTTGGGAGTAAACACTTTTTGACTCTCACTTCTTTGAATACTTTTTACACCTGGCTTGAAAGAATGTAACCAATTTTCAGGCTTCTTCCAAGGAGTTATCAAAGATTTCTTGAGATCTTCTTGCAAAGTAGATCAATATAGAGGGTTTGGCTAAATCTTTAAAATAAGTTCCTACCTTGCTTGTATCAAAATTCATTCTCCTATTTACCATCTCAATCTTTTTTTGAGTAAAGGTTGACCCAGTAGTAGTACCATATCTTTTGACATCCTTTCCAACAGATTTAATCCTAACCACACTATGATTTTTGAGCTTATTAGGATTTCCTTGAACTTTGACTTCCAACTTCCTTGATTGCCTTCCTACTCACTTCCATGCAAATAATCCTCCTGCGCTTGAGCTTGCTTGGATGGCTTGGTTGATCTCTTCTCCTGCTTCTCTCTCACTTTTGGTCCCTAAAATCACTATCAATACCTTTTTAATGCATCTTTAGGCTGAAGATGCCTTAGATTTGGTCTTACCTTCATCCTTAATATCAGTGAACACGAACCCCTTTAGGTTTTGTTCATGCTCAAAGCCGACACTGTGCACGTTCTTACTTGTGAATGATCCTTTTACCCACTGTGTTATGAGCCATTGTACTATTTGTACAACTTCAGATATTTCTCCTCTTCAGTGGTTTGGTTACCTAGATCCATTTTCATTTTCTTTTTGTAGTCCACAAGCTTTTTCTTGTGAGTTTGGAACGCTTTGGAGCCCAAAAGGTCTGTTTCTTTCTTTGACTCAGTTCTATATCAACCGTGGTAAACTTCTGAGGTTTTAGGTACTAATTCTCACCGGTATAGTGGCTTTAAAGAGAGGCTTAAGAACTTACTTTGCCAAATTCCTCTGCTTTGATATCATTTTATATCTAATTTTATGAATAAAATTGGGGTTTTGGGGTTTTGGGGTTTTGGGG